CCTGCTCCTTTCAGGCTCGGTCGCTCAATGAAAGGAAGAGAGAAAATAATATGAAACGACAAATTCTCATCTTCAATTTAAGGTGTTCAACAACGGCAGCATCAACAAAACTTCCCGTCCTAACGTGGACGACGTCATTTTGTTGCTATTATTGAGCAACGGAACGGACGCTAGAATGGAAAATCAAAGCAGATTTAAGGATGAGTTTATGACAACAATAAAGAAAAATGTCACTATTATTGCCCTGCTTGGAAGCATTGGAGACGAGATCAAAGACTTGAAACTTCACATCAAGCATCGGTCGTCACCACAGCTAGTCTTTAATTCAGTACTCTCGGACAATTTTGACAATGTTGTGAGTAAAATTGTCGATGCTTCGTGCACACATTCAGGTATGCAGATGATGTTAAAAGTTAAGAAATGAAAAAGTTACGAAGTAAGCGAATAAAAACTCGCTATAAACCGACTTTTTAGACCAAAACTTGTACCCGCCGTTTAATATTTTTGCTGGTCATCATTTTCAAAACATGAATAGATATAAATTATGTACATGTTATTTACAGTCAGTCTGCGATGCCGGAATAAAAAAATATTTTCCCGCGGAGAATTAAACAAAAAGTTCTATTATATAGGTTTTACCCTGAGCTATTGGCTTATTCTATTGTGTTCTATTGTATTGTTCGTATAATTTTCTCAAATGCCTCAATTCCTCAATTGTTATGCGTTTTGAAATGTACATAATTATTGATTCGACATTACATGCAAAACTTTGAGAATCTATTTCATCACTTTTAACGTTGACGATTTTATAGGGAATATATATAAGCGTAATGACAAGTAACTAACAAGGAGGGATTTCGTTTTAGACCAATCAGCAAGTTTGTTTTCATTTTCAATAATCCAATCAGAATGTATAAATTTTGATAAGTACAATATATACCTTCTTACCTAATTACCTAAAAATTTAAACAAATATGACGATTAGTTTAAAACGAAATTCCTCCTTGTTCAAGTAACTCACGTGTTGCTAAATTATGGTTAGCTTCAAAATACACGATTCTGATTGTCCATTTATGTCTCTAGCAATGAGTAACAGCTTCTTCAAACAACCATTTCCCCTTTTTCTTAGGAGGATGTGGGTGCATAAGTGAACAGGAGTTCATTGCATATACTAAACCAGGAGCCCTCACTGGATTGGTTAATTGGACAATACCCGACGTCACGTGTTCTGATTACGAAAGAGGCCAGGTTGATCCACCTGATCTCACACCTCCTGCAAATTTCTCAGTGGGAAAGCACGTGATTACCTACCCGTACTCGTATAAACGTGGTGGCAAAGTGGTTCAATTTAAATGTTTTGTCAACTTTACTGTTGTTCGTGAGTATTTAGCCGGTTTCATTATTAACAACCGGGGTTAGTAACGCAGATAAACTGGGCTAAGGTTAGGGCTGCTTTCTACTGTCGCGTTTTTTATACGCACGTACACGAATGTAAAAGTCTAAATCCTTATACATGTCTAAGGAACTTAATTTGTTGACGCACGTGGTAAATGATAAAAATGTGGAGGCATTTAAACTTTTCCTCGCGTAAAAAATCAACGCGGCAGTGGAAAGCAGCCCCAAGAGGTAAGGAAACAACAAGGTAGAGTTGAAGATTAATTTTCTTTGAAATCTGAATGCAGATTTTTTAAAACACTCTAAAATACCAGTATTCTGTCTGTACTGAAATACAACTGGATCGTTCTGGCCGCTCTTACCGTATAAAAGGAAAGCGCCCTTAGAGCTTTGTACCGATCCGGGGTGTAAAAAAATAAACACGTCATTATGTCAGTTGCTTTTTTTGTATACAGAATCCTTAGTTGTTTTTTTTCTTCCTGCTTAAAAACGTTTTCTTTTTTTAGCTTGTGAATGTCCATGTCCGCAAACAGTGGAAAAAGATGTAGACTATAGGGGAAGGGCCTTTGTCAGTTGGGTAGAACCTAAACCGAATTGCCCAACCATACAAAGTTCAGGTAATCCGATCACAACCAGTGGATATTTTGCTTTTGGAAATTACACACAGAACTACAGCTACACGTACAGCAACGAGACCCAATCATTTGTTATTGAATGCCATGTAACAATTGTGGTAACTATAGGTGGGTTAACAGCATTTTAATTAACATAGTAACGCTACTGTATTTTATTATACTTTGAGCTAGTTAATCTGGGGCTTCATCAGTTAATTAATTAACTGATAAAAAGGGTAATTGCACTGTGTGGAGTGGGATTTGGTGTGAAATCAAACGTGGGATTACAAAATCACATTAGAGTAAAGACCCTGGGTACGAGGTTGGTCACAAGTGTGACATGTAATCAAAAGTTGTTGGGCAATTACTATCCTTAATTAACTTAAATCTACTAAATACGATCATTGCCATACATCTCCCCCAACTTCCCTCTCCCCAATCAATGATGGTTACACGTTTGCGAACAAAATATCCGTCTATTTGGGACACAACATTGAAAAGGGGGCGCGGGGGATCTGGGCTCGTGTTTTAATCGGAAATTTTGTTACATGTCGCAACCCTTTTGCAAATGATTGTACGCCACACGGCAGAGGTCATAAAAACAATGACGTAATAACAAATGAAGAATATCACACAATATATCACGTAATAAACATTTGCCAGCAAAAGTGCAAGAGGTCTGCATTTGGACACTTTACAGCTGAGAAGGATATCTATCCAGCTTCCCTTTATGCCAGGGGCCAGTTGTTCAAAGCTGGGTTAGCGCTAACCCTGGCATAAATTTTAACCACTGTTTTGGTTTAAGTGCTTCTGAGCCGCTGTTCATTTTAAAACCTTTACAAAATATGGCTTTTGTCAGTTCACAAAATATTTATGGAAAAAGATATTCAACTTTGTGAACAAGCGATTAGAAATATTGATGTAAAGATTTCCTTAAACCCGGGGTTAAGCTAACCTGCTTTTGAACAACACGCCCCAGGGTGTAATTCCTATAATTTCCAAGTATAACTTTACAAAAGTCTATTAATATGATTGCAAGTTAGAGCTGCAGTAATTTAATCTGACTTACTCTGGAACGCCACTGGTCGCTTACAATTCGGTTTTAATAATTTCCTATTGCCTAGGTCTATCAATCCAGTTAAAAGGGCCTTCAAGTTCAAATGGTGTTGGTCGTGTGGAAATATTCCATAACGGAAAATGGGGAACAATCTGTGACGACCAATGGGATATCAAGGATGCTAAAGTTGTGTGTCGTCAACTTGGTTATCAGGAAGCCTTTGCGGCCTTCAGGGAAAACTTGTTCCTCCTGGTTCAGGGCAGATATGGTTAGACAATGTTCATTGTTCTGGGAATGAGCAAAATTTGGCCAGTTGTTCCCATAGAGGCTGGGGAGTCCATGACTGTCGTCATTTTGAAGATGCTGGAGTGAACTGCTTTGGTAATCCGAATTTACATTTTTGCCACCTATTCTTATCAATCAGCTTCCTTCAATCTTCAGCCTTGTGCCCAGGCGCTTTAGTAGAAAAATATGTAACGTTGCGTTCAGGTACTATTTAGGCTCGTAATCCCCGAGCCCGAGGCTAGCTGGAAGCAGCAAAACAACTACAGCTGTAGATTGTAAATTTTAACCAGGCATAAACATTTCCTAGCAATTTTTTTATGTTTAATGTAATATTCAGCAGTTTCAGATAAAAGTTGCATACATTGGTACAAGTCTGCCAGGAAATCTGTTGGAATTTACATCATAAATCCGACACCTACCTTTTCAAAACCCTTGAATTGTATGTTTTTATAGTTATCGCCCAGTTTCATCCTATCTTTCCACATTTTATTTTGTATAAAGTTTTCAAAGCACTTTTACAAAAATGCTTGCGAAATTACAGTTAATTTTGTATTTTGCCATGCGATCAGAAAGTTGCTAATTACCCGCGTCACAGAATACGTATTATCAGAAATGTAACTTCGTGTCCCAAAATTTTCCCAAAATACAGACGTCATACAGAAGCCATCATTCCTTGTGATTTTTCATTATTTCTGCCGTTTAATTTTAGTAGTAATTTTGGGGTTTTAATTGATAAAAATAAATTAATTTATTTTGAAATGTATTTTCATCTCCGTAAATGTTAAAACATTAGTGAACTTACAATCATTTTTAAAAGTAGTTGGGTAATTACTATTTTTAAACAAAATCTACTATATATGATCATTGCCATACATCTCCCCCCACCCCCTTCCCCCCAATCAATGATCGTTACACGTTTGGGAGCAAAATGTCCGTCTTCTTCGGACACAACATTGAAAAGGGGGCGCGGGGATCTGGGTTTGTGTTTTAAGTCGGTAATTTCGTTACCTGTCCCAAGCCCTTTGAAAATGATAGCAGGTCACACGGCATAGGTCATAAATAAAATGACGTAATAACACATGAAGAATATCACACAATATATCACGTAATAAACATTTGCCAGCAAAAGTGCAAGAGGTCTGCCTTTGGAAACTTTACACCTGAGATGGATATCTATCCAGCTTCCCTTTATGCCAGGGTGTAATTCCTATAATCTCCAAGAATAACTTCACAAAAAATCTATTAATATGATTGCAAGTTCGAGCTGTAGTAATTTAATCCGACTTACTCTGGAACCACCACTGGTCGCTTACAATATAATTCGCTTTTAATAATTTCCAGGTTTTTTAATCCAGTTAAAAGGGCCTTCAAGTTCAAATGGTATTGGTCGTGTGGAGATATTCTATAACGAAACATGGGGAACAATCTGTGACGACCAATGGAATATCAAGGATGCTCAAGTTGTATGTCGTCAACTTGGTTACAAGAAAACCCTTGCGGCCCTTCAGGGATATCGTGTCCCTTCTGGTTCAGGGCAGATATGGTTAGACAATGTTCGTTGTTCTGGGAACGAGCAAAATCTGGCCAGTTGCTCCCATAGAGGCTGGGGAGTCCACAACTGTCGTCATTCTGAGGATGCCGGAGTGAACTGCATTGGTAATCGGCATTTATATTTTTGCAACCAAATCTTATCAATCAGCTTCCTTCAATTTTCAGCCTTGTACCCAGGCGCTTAGTAGAAAAACATATAATGTTGCGTTCAGCTGCTATTTAGGCTCGTAATCACCCAGCCTGAGGCTAACAGGAAGCAGAAAAACAACTACAGCTGTAGATTGTAAATTTTAACCAGGCATAAACATTTCCTAGTAATTTTTTATGTCTATTGTAATATTCAGCAGTTTCAGATAAAAGTTGTGCACATTGGTACAAGTCTGGCAGGAGATTTGATGGAATTTACACAATCAATCCGGATGGTAAGAGTTCTTTTCAGGTCTGGTGTGATATGACAACCAATGGAGGAGGATGGACGGTGATTCAGAGAAGGAAAGATGCAAGTGTGGATTTTTATCGTGGTTGGTCAGAATATAAAACAGGATTTGGCACTCTCTCTGGGAATTTTTGGCTTGGTTTAGACAAAATACATCGTTTAACAGAATCTGGTCAAAACACATCAAGAATTATCCTGAAGTCTGGTGATGCGATAGCTTCTGTAAAATATTCGATGTTTTCTGTGAGTCAGGAATCAGAGGGTTATAAACTCCACGTTGGTGGATTTTCCACAGAGGGTAAATATACAGGTTGCTATATACTGTCCAGAAATAACCTAAGGCCGATTTCAATTAGGCGAAATTTTTCGTCTGATATTCTTTTCAATTGTGAGAATTCGACCGTAGCGGATTCCCTTCATCGGTCAAAATTAAAAAGAAAATTGAAGCAAAAATTTCGTTTCGAAAAATTCCGCTCAGTGGAAAACTGCCCTGACACAGTGACACTGCAGTTGCGGTTGCAATTCGGTCGCGGTTGACCGCAAATCAAAGGAATACGTTTGCAGTTCGGTTCCTAACAAAATTTTATTAAGAGCTTAGATCGACAGCACAATAATGATAGCAAAAAAATCTTAAGAAATGTCTATCAGACCGAGTTAATATAAGCCGAGGTGTTAAACCTCCGTCTCACTACGGTTTGACCTCGGTCTGAGCTCGGTTCAACCGCGATAAGACGGAGGTTTAACGTAGATTAACCGTGATTTGTTAGGTTATTTCTGGATACTACTGTAGTCAACTGGGTTTTCCAGTCATTTCACAATTTGAGTGTGGAGTCAACCCTGTGTATAGTATTAAACTGAGGGTCTGTTGCATGCATGGGTTCTTGCAATCATATAATGTATCAAAAAGCTGGTCAAAAATATTTTGTATTTTACTAGTAATGGCTAAAAAGGCAGGCGAAAATTTAGGCTGAATTTTAATTTGCTAGCCATAATTGAGAAGATGATAAATTTTATCGTCCTCTTAAAAAGTCAGCCGTTTTATAATTATCGCATCCTCATTTTCAGGACCAACTATCAGGTTGCGGGGGCCATTAAGATCAAATGGTACAGGTCGTGTGGAAGTATTCCATAACGGAAAATGGGGAACAATCTGTGACGATAACTGGGATATTAAAGATGCTGAAGTTGTGTGTCGTCAACTTGGTTATCAAAAAGCTAACGAAGTCCTGCAAGGAAAGTATGTTCCCTCTGGCACTGGACCGATATGGTTAGACGACGTTCATTGCACTGGGAATGAACAAGAACTAACTAATTGTCCTTCTAAGAACTGGGGAAGCCATAATTGTCAACATTCTAATGATGCTGGGGTAAATTGTTCAGAAAAAGGTGAATTTGATAACCCAACATTCCTTGCATCAAAATCATTGCAATTAGCTTTTTTCTGCTCGCTTGTTTTGGTCAAGAGCTAGTTCAATGAGGAAAAACTCAGGAAACACTGAATGTTTAATAATTGTTTACGCACTGCAGTTTAATGGACACGTTAATAAAGGCATGTCAAAGTCTGTAAAAGCATTTTGAATGAATCCTATTCAATAATTCTAAAGCAGATAAAATTATTTCTTAAATTTGCCCGGAATTACTAAAGAATTATTTTGCTCTTTGGAATGATATTTAGGTCCTAAATTTACTATATGTTGGTTTAGTGAACTGTTGGTAATAACCCTCAGGAACATTACCATAATTTTAGATGAAACAGTGAGGCTGCAAGGGCCATTAAGTTCCATGGGTATTGGTCGTGTGGAGGTATTTCATAACGGAACATGGGGAACAATCTGTGACGACGAATGGGATATCAAGGATGCTCAAGTTGTGTGTCGTCAACTTGGTTATCAGCAAGCCCTTGCAGCCCTTCAGGGAAATCTTGTCCCTTCTGGTTCAGGGCAGATATGGTTAGACGATGTTCGTTGTTCTGGGAATGAGAAAAATCTGGCCAGTTGTTCCCATGGAGGCTGGGGAGTCCACAACTGTCATCATTCTGAAGATGCTGGAGTAAAATGTGCTCCAAAAGGTATGTACTATGTAATCCATCATGATATCCAAAACTTTTAGCAAATCAGCCTCCTTCACGTTTTCACGTGGAAAACAAAATGAAATCACATGTTTTACCTCGCTTTCATTGTTCTTGCTTAGGCTCGCCCCATGATGCTTAGCATCTTCCTAGTTCTAGTTACGATGACAAAGCAAACCGAATAGTGGAGAATTAATGGCTTATTTTATAAAGCATGATAAAAAAGTGGAATTGCTTTTAATGAGGGTTGTAATTTTTTGCCTGGGAGGTGAACTTGCACTAGTAACTGATATATGTAATAGTAAAAGTCTGGCCGACTCTGGCCTGCCGTAAATTTAGGGCTGTTTTCCACTGTCGCGTACGTACACGCACGTAAAAGTTAAAAATTATGAAATCAACGATTAAATAGATTACGTGCAAAAAAAGCGACAGTGGAATGCAACCTTTACATACCAATTTCCCATGTGTCAAAAATTGACACCATTTTCCTGCAACTCAATGAAAATACGATTACTTTAACTCATATCCAAGAAAACGTGTGCAAAGTAAAGGCTGCTTTCCAGTTACGCGTTTTCATGCGGACTTAAAGTCTAAATTCATATACACGTTGTTATCTTTGAAAAAACTAAGTAAATAAATCTAAAGAACTTAGTTTTCCGCATATTTTAGTTTGCATCTGCAGACCTTGGTGTTAAAAAATAAACATTTAGGAGCATTTAAAAATTTCCGTGCGTGTACCTGCGTATAAAAAACGCGTAACTGCATGGAAAGCAGCCCTAAGGCCTAAAAGAATAGTTAAATTTAATATTCTCATGTTACACGGAACATGTTTGTACCGTTGTTTGCATTTGTACGCGGTGAAGGTCTTTTCTGCTATAGTAAATACGAACTGAAAATTAATATAATTTAATTTCAGAAAATGCTGGAGATTCGTTGATTGATAATAACGGGGCAAAATTCAGTACCAAGGATAGAGATAACGACATGTCGAGTGAATTCAACTGTGCTGTGCTCCACACTGGTGCATGGTGGTACAGTAACCATGACAACACATGCGGAAACTCCAATCTCAACGGTTTCTTCCCCAGGGCAGGTATATCTTCAGGTGGAATGACATGGTACAACTGGAACAACAATCGACTATCTATGACAAAAAGTGAGATGAAACTCCGGCAGGCTGATTTTTAGAACAGCATTCCACGCAGGATTGTTGGTAATTTACAACACAGGCCTAGAAAACATTATTTCACTGAGTAATGACAGTTTAATGCTGTAGCAGAGTGTTGTAGAATTGATCATATTAATGTTATTAATTATTAGACTAATAATGAATGTGTATGATATACAATTGTAGAAATATTTTCACAAGACGAAAAATAGAATGTTCTTTCACTGAAATAGACATGGAAGCATATATGACAGCTGTAGCTTTACCTAATCATAATACTGAATAATTTAAGAATTGCGTTTCGTTGTACTTGTGGTTTTTTAGATAATATGTTCCCCTCTTCTTCTTTTGACTCATAATTTATCATATTGAACGCGGGGATGTTTATTTTAGAAAATCGCTATAGCATAGAGTTCACTGCGCTATAGCAGCTAGCGCATGCATGTGATGAAACTTCACAGAAATGACAAGAAACATATATATTGCTCGAAAACCAAATCCTCTTCTCTCTGGAGCCAAGCGATTGAACTTTTTTCCATATATTTATGATTAGCTAGTCATTAACAACTTTTTTGTGAACTAGTTGTTAGCAAAACATATCATGATTACAAATAAACTGACACATGCATGCATATAGACATCGCGATTTCAGTGCAAATAACAATTAACAAGGAAAGTTCAAACAAATATAGCCTGGTTTTCATTTAGTGGTAATCAGTTGTGAACATCATGTCAAGGTGCTGATGTGTTCAAATATTTCTAGATGTGTGTGCACCGATTGCCACAGAACCATAAAGTCCTGCTAGCTGAACCGTTTAACTTTTATCAAATCACGTACGTTTTCGAGATCCAATTTCGCTGGCAATTAGGGATGATAACGTCGCATGTTAGATGGTGTCATATTTCGTAAACATCATCCTTGTAAAGCCACTATAACATTCATTAATTGTGTAGGAGGACGAAACTAATGAAATGATCCTCTATTGTGATCAACCGTAACTTCTGTCTAGCCTAGCACATGCATGCAGGAGAGAAATATGTTATTATAAAGTTAACTTTTTTATCGAGCTTGAATTTGGTATTTCTTTTGAAATGGGGCTTGTTAATTGGTTGTATATATAAATTTTCCCAAAATAGCGTTCTGCATGAGGTTGGATTACATTTTTTTACATTGGATTTACAGTCGACTTGAGCACACATGACAACAGAATAACGAATGACAGAATGGCCACTCAGGGGTACAACATGTACACCCCCTGGCATGATCCGCCATTTTGCGGGTAAGTCGATGCCATGCACAGAATAACGAAGGATTTCTGTTCAACATTTTATTTCAAACAGAAGAAAATCACTGAACTTATTTACACACATCACTCATCAGGTATTCGATAGGACAGGCTTCGGGGCCTAATACTAATAGTCGCACAATAAAAATATTATATATAAATACGAATTGTATATGTATATCGGTAAAATAATAAACGTATCGGTAGGCATTACATTTTCCTCACGTCAATAAAGTTGTTGGAATCTTGTTATCTTTATTTGTAAAAAATAACAATTTTCCTCGCTCATGAATTATGCTTCACATACTTCGGTCGAAACGGGAAAACAAATGGTATGGCTTGCCAATCCTCAGCTCTTGCTTACGAATAAACGCTCCGAACTAGAAATAAGAAAAAGAAAAGAAAAAAGATGCGCATCCCGTCACATGATAACAAACTTCCAATAAAACCGCCGAGCCCCATGTTTGAACGTACTACCAACAAACAGAGAAGATATAAAGGATCGGGAAAACAAACTCTAGAAGTTCATGGTGGGCCCATAATATTATATTTCTCCCTCCGTTTGCTTGCATAATCATAACAGGCCTCCCAAGTTCCACGCCTTTGGCTTTGTGTAATTTGAATTACTTAATACTTATTTCCTAACGCTGAGGGAAACAGTGTGTTTTGTGCTAAATAAAAATAAACCAGAGGCCAGAGAAGAGCCAATTCCTATAAACAGTGCCTGTATAGATTAGAATATGAAACAATATAAAGTTAACTTCAAAAACAGTAGAAAAATTCTTTATTCCGAAAAATATACATGTTCGCCACTTCCCTGTGATTTCTGAAGGGAAAGCATAGGAATGCGCATCAAATTTCATAATTTGTCCTAGGGAAAATTATGATATCTGAAGCCAGTTCGTGTTGATCACTCCTAATCATTTAGATTTGAAGCCCTCTACGCGTGGACCTCTTGTCCAATAGGAAAGAACTATAGGTATATACCAGTAGTATTCGTTAACATAATGAGCGAATTTAGCTAAAACATTTTATATAATTCGACAAATTAGCACACAGTCAACCTTAAACTATTCTAAACTTGTTTTAATAGAGTATATAGATACCAACATTTTTTAACCTTATGCAGCATTGTTGAGATTTGAGCGTTGAAAATTTTCAATATTTCAATTCACCTGCTATATCAGTCAACTTATATAAATAATTTCAAATCATAGTCATAACATTAGAGATGGAAGCGAAATTGCAAAAAAAAACACCTTCTCCCGAAATCCTAGGAAATATTTTATCCTCATTTTAACATATTTCGCCATTTGTCTTTCAGGTTTTGCGGAGTCCTTTGCGGCATAAAACTGTAATGATTCAAAATCTTTTTCCATTGAAAGCCATATTTAGAAACGCCTTCCTTGAGGTTTTCCTCTTCTTGGACAGTGAACGGACATCGTTTCTTTGGCTTATAGCAAGTAGCCTGGAAAACACACACAGATTTAGTAAATTCACAATGCATGTTTAGCTGTGAAAACACTCATGAACAACATGAGACAGTGATGAAAGATAATAAACTATTACGTCGAGAAAAAATAAAATTACTACAAACGCTCTGAAAAGCACCCTACAAGTAAGTTTTGCTTCTTAATCGTGTTGAAATTTGCAAATGGGATGGGAGCATATGAACGTCTGTTCACAACAAATTAGACAAATTGCAAAAATTGAATGTAAATATTTGCATATCCTGGGTTAAGTTAGCCGTGTTTCGAACAACTGTCCCCAGAAATAAAACTTACCTGCATTAAACTTGTGTATTTCTGTTTCAACGTTTTTGCAGACCTTCTCGTACTAAACTCGCAATATCTCTCAATGATACTGAATCTCGGCCCGTATTTGTCCACGCCTGTTAACGATTGACATATATATAAAACGATGGACATAAGTTATTTGAAAAAGCTAGGCCAATAAATTGAAAGAAGCAGCGCTAAGGGCTGTTTCTCACAGTCTGTTCATCAGCGTAAACATTGCAACGACTACCAACCTTCTTTGAGAATTTCAATTTCGCGTGCAGTAAAAGGTTTTTTGGTGGGCCTTGAACTGTTCTTTTGTTCATCGGGTTTTACTCTCTTTGCTATCTAAAAAATACATCTGCCATTGATTTCATACTCGAATACCAAAATACAACCTATAACGTTGCAATTAAAGCATTTTGAATTTATATACTGACGCTTCGGGTAGTATTGGTTTTGGGGCCCTGTTTGGTTGCGACTGGTGCTATGGCGCATGGCCAATTGACTGGCGGAGTTACAATATTGCCGTTCTAGAGCTATATCCGATTGTCCTCAGCCTGTGTTTATGGGGATCAAAAATGCGCAATCATTGTATCTTGTTTCTCACGGATAATGAAGCTTTGGTGTCTGTTATTAATAAGCAAACATCAAAGGATTCTTATATCATGACACTCGTTCGCCGGATGGTTTTGGTTTGTTTAGAAAACAATATTTTATTCAAAGCAAAGCATATACCAGGTAAACAAAATGTCCTAGCTGATTGTTTGTCTCGTTTACAGCTCCAAAAATTTTCACAATTGGCGCCGGCCGACATGCATCGAGCTCCAACGCCTATTCCCTTTAACCTGCTGCCGAAAAATTGGCGACTATAGTTTCTCAATTAGCTCAAAGTAGCTTGCAACCTTCTTCAGTGCCGACTTATAAGCGGGCATGGGCACTTTTTACGCAATTTCATGTGGCAATTTTTAATGAGGGATCGTTCACTTTGCCTTTGTCGCCCTCAGTCGTCGCGTTATTCATAGCGTACTTATTTGACCTCAAGTGCGCCTCTTCAACAGTTAACACTTATGTATCTGCACTGGGTTATACTCATCGCATGTCCGATCTACCGGACCCAACGAGAGTTTTCTACGTAACGCAAATATTAAAGGGGTATGGTAAGAAAGGCTTCCGCTTAGATAGTAGGTTGCCTATAACTTTACCAATTCTCAATCGTCTTATTGAGGCTGCGCCTCATATTGCTGGGTCACCGTACCAAATATGTCAATTCCGGGCAATGTGCTCTTTAGCATTTTTTGCGTTCCTGAGAATTGGAGAAATAACTAAGAAGTCAAATAACCAACCCCTTCAATTGCGACAACTCTCCAAACTATCTTCCGATGATGGCCGGGTTGCAGGCATAAGGTTGACTTTCGAGGATTTCAAGCACAATTATAACAGTAGACCTTTTAGTTTGGAAATTCACAGGCAAACAGCATGCTGTCCTGTTCGCTTATTAGAGGAGTACATGATTTTGCGAGGTGCCCAGCCCGGAGCTATTTTTCTATCCCAACTGGGCATTCCAGTCTCATGTGACGAGTTTGCCAATCTTCTTAAAAAGGCTTTCCGCTTCTGTGGACTCGATACTTCCAAATATAAGTCTCATTCATTTCGAATAGGCGCCGCCTCCCACGCAGCTGAACACGGGCACTCGGATGCCCAAATTCGAACTATGGGGCGTTGGAAATCGAACGCATTCCTCAAATATATACGTTTTTCTTCCCTATCAACATAGTTTGGATGAATTTTCGAGCGGAAAACTTGCGGGGAGTTTTCTGCTCGAATTGTGCATTTCTTTCTTCCTCAGCTTGCACATGGTCAGCAAGGGCGATCGTTTGCATTCTGGGGGAGGAAATAAAGTGCTTATAACAGGGTGATGGAGAAGCTTCTTCTTGGCGCGGTAATGTTGTGACTCTGCTAAACTAATATCAGTTAAGTGTAGATTATCAGCAAAGGTGATAATCAATGTAGCTTACCAGCAAGGGTGATAATCAGTGTCGATTATCAGCAAGGGCGATATCTATGCTTTTGTAAGTGCCTTTTTGCCCATGTTCGTTTATAAGGTCTCCTATTGTATTACGAAACTTTCTGCATGCATCCATTTCCTTGGGGTGGGGTCAACTTGCTTTGCTTCGTTGTTTTGGCGGTAATTTGCCTCCACCCTTTTCTGAGCGTAAATATTTGGAATTTTAATGCAATGTATTAATAAATATCGTTTTGTTTAATAGAAATAAAGCGGCTAGGAGAACCATTACTCCTAGCCAAAATTATCCCAAAACGGCGTAAAATTTAATGTGTCTTTATTATGCTCAGAAAACTGAGCTGCGGAAAGGGTATGCAAAATTCATGGCTGGCAATATATCTATGCGTAAATAAATCACATTGCATAAATACCTAAACAACCATACAGTAGTGCACTCAAACGTATGCTTCCTACTCACATGTCTAACGAATAGCTGCGTCATATCCTACCTCTCTGGGGAAGCCTTCACAGCGCACGTTAACCTTTGGAGACGACACGAAGTCGAAATCTGGTGACCGTTTTTTTGTTTCTTTAATTTTTTTGTATCTTTGAAGAGCAGATACCACTTCCATAACAAACAAACGATGTTCAGTACACGTGTTGATGCTACGTCGTATACTACTGAGATAATTACGGCTGTCTACTTTAGCGAAGTCCACGCGACATCCCAGACATTTACGGCAGATCTAAAATAAAAATAATCTTTTTTACTTAATTTCTGCAGGAACCAAAATAATAAGAACGAAAATGTACTGATCATGCGAAAAAATGGAAATGGGACTTGAAAGGTGTGAATGTATCAAAATCGAGCAATCTGAAAAAATAATTAACAATAAGATTATTAACGCCTAGCAATTATCACTTAACGGTGATTTTCACACAAATTCGTATTTAACTCAATTTAAGAATTATTAAAATATTATGCAGCAGAACTTTTAGAGTGTTTCCTCAAGCATTCTTTTTAAGGTAGGACGTCTTTAGGTATCGCGCAAACATTTTCAAGCTTATCATCAGGGCCCAGGGGACAAGAACAAAATCAATTTCACGGGTGGCATACTTCAATAGTTCGCTTCTCTTTTGATCTATAATGCTATCACTGGGTGTATATAATTAAAGGCTTTTTAATAGCCTTAAGGCCAATAAAAACATCTAAAAGAATAATTGCAACAAGAAAGTGGCATTTATTAATACCGTTAAGGAGAAGAGATCGTATTAATTCATTAAATTTACCCCTTTTTTGTTGTGTTCAAACAACAAAGGCTCCTTTCTTTTTTTCCTGGGTGGGAAAGGTGCTTTCAATATCAGGTCATGTACTGGTATATCAACATCGACAGACTTATCAATTGGAGATTCAGAAGGAATTTCTTGACCAGGGGAAGCAGAATCTTCATGATCAGATTCTGACAGTCGAAGCCGTCGTTTTGAACTTTTTCCGTTGTTTCTTTTCTCGTTGGCCGTTGTTATGAACGGCCTCTTGCTAGCTTTGCTGTTGATAATTTCTATATTTGAAATAATAATTAACAGCATTGTTTACATTCGATGGATTGAGAGAAAAAACGATTTGGCAGTTTTTATGCTAGATTTACTAGAGAGTTAATTGGATTTTTCTCCTCATTAGGTAAGAGCAAAGCAGGAAAATCATGGGGTTATACTTTTCCATAAAAAATATTTTGAGAAAGATTTAAACGTAGATTCTGATGTTTGATGTTTGAATGGTTTTATTAAGTAGCTACACTAATTTAATTTTGTACGCGTGATGGGCGCACGAAAAATAAATAAATATATTTCCAGAACACAAAAGAACATAACATCGTTCTTGGAGGGATGTTGATAACTCACCTGTCTTCGGATTTTTAGGAGTTTCACCACAACGAATGTTTGCAACTTTTTCGCAATTGCTATCACCATTACAGGTTTCAGAACAGACGTCAGATGAAGATCTAATTGTATCTACATCCAATTCCTTTTGACTGGGTATAATTTCGGAATTTGGGTCAGGGTTAGTTTCCAAATCCTCCACTTTTGGATGATCCTGATTATAGTCAACTGTACAATCAAACGTATTTGAGTGAATGGGTATTTGCTTATTCGAATCAGTTACAGGACCCATTTTGATCGAATTTCCAAACGGGTGAGGCAAAGGTGATTCACTGGTCTTGGAGGCTTCGCTTTGTTCTGACAATCCTACAACATCACCATTCTGAATTTTTTCGCCCTGCATATCTTCACTCACAATCTGATTGCAAGGACTGTCGTTTCTTGAATTACTATCTGTGGAATTTAATTTCTCCTTCATCTCATCACATGTGACACCTGTCTCGCTAACTGAAGTATCTACTTTATTGCTGTCAACGTCTTTATTCCAAAAAATCACGCCAGAACGCGTTGTAGTGTTCATAATATCCATTAAACGATCAATTCGATTGTCACTGACTGACTTTTGTTCCTACAAGGATAATATGAAACTAAAAACCTTCAATCATCTCATGTCTAGCTACAGTTAAAAGCAAACTTATCGTGTATTACTAAGCTAAAGAAACAATGCTAAATTAATCTAAAAAAGTATTTTCAAGCTAATTGCAATACTCTTCTCACCACTGTAAATGCACAGAGTTCTTTTAAAGAACGGACTTCATTCGTTAAATCTTTAATCCGGTTAACTATCATATCAGTTTGTCCAGATGGCATTATGTCTCTGTTTTCTACATTACTTTCACAACCATTACTACTCCCATTCTCTACATTTGTAACATCTACTTCACCTTCACCTTCTATATTCTGTTTTCCATCTAGCAGGAAAAAAAAATATTGCATGAAATGTACCCTGGCCAACAACTGTTATACTTAATTACCACTTCGGTATTCGTACTGGCATCTTAATAACAGTTTTTCCTACATTAAATGATTAAGAATTAATATGGCAGCATACTTTCCACTTGAAGTAAGTTTTCTGGCGCTATCTGTAATTTTTTTAAGACGTCATCCATACACTCCGGAATCGTTATTCCTGAAGAAGTGAATGAAAGATTTAAAAATGCATCAATTCCTTAGCCTAAGCGCAATTCCTTTAAAACTGTTGTGATTGAATTTTTTTATTATCAGAAAACAGATGTCGTTTAAAAGACTTACTGGTTTGCTCTAAGTACGTTTGCAAAACACATAAAGCGGACTTTTGTAACTCCTGGCAATTCTATAAGGGACTCAAATACAACATGGTCAACAAAATTAATAAAGTATCCAGGGTGACAATCAACACTTGGCCACAGTCCTTGCTACACGCAACCTACCTGATTTTCGGCCAACACCTTCACTACCGTGGGCATCCCATCATTCGTTAAAAACTGTTTGCAACTTGAGTCTGGAAAGAAACGTGCTAACATCTTTACTACGAAAACCGTTGTAACGCGACTTTCGACTTTTCAAAACGTTCGGTTGGATTGATGGATTTTGGATTTTCTGTTCGGTCAATCAAATTAAAGTGGGCGGAATTTTTTAGTCCATCAATCACAATCGGTGTGAAAAAGCTCCGCCCATATTAACTTGATTGGCGGAACAGAAAATCCCAAACTCAACCAAACGTTTTGTTTATCGAGAGTCGCGATACAACGGTTTTCGTAGTAATAAAAAGGTTTCCACGGTACACTTGGTTTTACACTTATTAAACAGTCATCTTGAGGAGCTGCTTTTTTTGCATGCTCAGTTTATTTGAGCAGTATTATGACACACTGCTTACAGTATAAAATTTTCTAGGGGTTTTAGCTGATGGAAAATTTGGTTTTAGCTGACGGAAGTTTTATATACCTACATATACGACTTAACCGGTGGACTTTAATAGCAGTGGAAAGATTCTGCAGCTATATCAAACCGAACATTCTTGCACGTGTTTGATCGATTGGTTTTTGGACGCACCAGACTTCCACTCTAAAATCCACATCCACTTACCACATCCTTCAATACACGCAGAGAGTGTTATCAAACACTGTATTTTAAACTTGGGAGATGCAAAACAAAGCTGAAGTGATTGCAAAAGGAGAGGAACAATTTCCATTTCCGCTATACTGTCGCGACACATGTCTATCAAGATATAAAAAATTATTGCACCTTCTCTTAAGTAACAATTGTTGCACTCTTACCGAAAATATCCAGTACCAACAGTATGCGAAAGGGGCATTCTACAATATTGGTTCCGTTAGATAGTCTACTGTTTCGCAACTCGGATCCGCCCGACGGATTTCTTTCGTAAGTGCAATAACAGTTTACAATAGAAATCCGTCGGGCAAAACTGGATAGGGAGTTTTAGCAGCGACTACGTGTACGAGCACGAGATTCATCATTCTTGCGCGTTGTTTGCATGCTTACGCCATCAGCGCAAACTCGTAGTCGTTGGGCTTTCGAGTTTAGAGTAAGAAATTTGCCAAGAAACTCGTACTCAAAAACCCGGCGACTACGAGTTTTGGCTGATGACGTAAGCAAACAACGCGCGAGAATGACGAATCTCGTACCTGCAGTCGCTGCTAAAAAACTCCCCAATATATTAATATTCAACACCCCCCACACACACAATTATTGTTCTAGTTACGCCTTTGATCAGTCTGATAAAAAAATATGGAAATGAAGTAATTGATAGCTACTGTTACGTCGACGCAGTATGACGAGTATATGTATATTCATGAAATAAATTTTAGCGTACCATTGTCACGCACAGCTGCATCTATTGTCAATATCAAGATCTGAAGAACAGTGGAAGGTATTTGGCCACCAGCAAGCAGATCTTCTCGAAATATATCATATAATACCCTTATACCTCCTACCAGACGAAAATTGACTTGACAACGACCTAAAGGGGAGTGTGTTTCAAGGCAAGAACTGAATTGGTTTAAATTATGCGTCTCTATATGAGGCCAACTGGAGAAAGAAGGGGAAAATTATTTAAAAAATGGCCAGCATTGGGAAGAACAAAAAAGTACAACAACTTCACAAGTATAATTAATATTTAAGAACTACAGGAAGTTGAATTTTTATACTTACTATTATTTGCTAAACAATTTGTTAGAAATGTGAGTGTACTGGTTTGTATACGTGGATAATCGGAATTCCTTAGATAAGTTACAGCAGCGGGAAACGCCGACGAACATAGAAATTGGTTGTCATCTTCAATTAAAAAAAAATTGTGTTATAAAATGATTAAAACTGCAACCATGCATTTGTTGATAATTGGAAGTATTTTGCACATCAAATGATTTCCTCATCGAATAAAACTTTAAAATTTCTCTTCGCGAAAAGAGGTAGCTATATACATGTCTCCCTTTTTGCACATCCGTAAATTATACGCTCATTCTAGCTCCTATATCAAAAGAAGAAAATTGCACAAAAAATCAGAGCAAAACAAAAACGGTAGAAATTAATGCATACTGTTTTGTGGGTTATAAACACAAACAGACAAGGCATGTGTCGCTGTTTGCCAGAGGTTGATCAGAGCTTCATTTTCTTGGCAATTTGATGAGAGGTATTCCGCTAGTCTATTCGGTAGGCGTGGAGAATGCGATGGAGAACGAACATCCCTGGAAAAAATCACAGTCAATTTGTTCTTGAAATACTTAAGTGGAAGTCAAGTCCGTGAACAAACGGTTTGTTAACATTTTGAATATCTATACTTTTTAAAAATACGTACGCTTTGTTAATTTGCAGCTAATTCTGTATTTAGGTTCGCTGCGCTTCTAATGAACGTATATTAAAGCGCATGTGCAGAAAAAATGTGAACATGCAAAATTTAGACCAAATTATTGTAGAGAGGGCCCTCCTTTGTAACGAGCAGAACCGATCTGATCAAACGACATGAATCCAGTGAATATATAATCCCCGAGGTTACTGATTTTTAAACGAAGTTAATTTGGACAACTGACGTCTGTCACTTGGTTTTCCTTCTCGTAGGACGGTCTCGCATGTCACTTCCCGTATGTGAAAAGCCGAACTGTGAAATACTTGTCAGCCGCATGTTTGACCAGTTTAACTGAATGATCATCATCCAATTCATTCATGCCTTGACCATGATCCGGAAAAACAGTTGATCGAGAGGATTTATCAACGAAGAAATGAAGTGATTGCTCTCTTCACAAATCATCTTGCTTCGTAGTTAATCGCTTGAACGAATTTGCCGCCCATCTTTGCTGACACAAGCTCTGAACACAATCTCGGCATACTTTAGCACAGAAAAGACTGACGTTGACGGATATGTCAAACCCTCTTTGGTTTACGAAATGCGTGAAGGCCACGTTGATGATCGACTCTTGCCTCATCGTAATCGTGGTTATTCAACTGCGAAGGACGTGATGCAAGTGAGATTACGCATGCCTTGCAAACTTCCCAGGTAATTCTTTTACAAGCTTTCCAACGATAAATCCACCAATATAATATAAAATATTTATTCTCAACAAATTCTGAATGTCCCTGTCGTTTCCAAATGTTCTACAAATATTTCTTCGGATTGGGTAAAACCGTTAACGTTGTTTTGAGATGCCACAGCGGCAGTGTGCCTTTTTCTGTGAAAAATTGAGATACTGCCAATGATATCTTTCTTAGGGCATACTTTAATTGTATAGACTGTTTGGATTGTTGCTCCAGCCACCATTTGATCTTATACAGGAAAACAACAACTCAATATGATCTTGAGAAAATTTGTAGGGCAAAAATTAATGTACTCGAATGGATTCTCATGGAGTTGCCCTGAGGGAGATCATGTAAGCAGCATGGACCATCACATGTATGTGGCAAGGATCTAATATTACATACACATGGTAATCTTTTGATGGATGTTGAAATTTGGTAATCATGGCGTTGTGCTCGGTACCAAATGTACATACAACCTATGTCCCGAATTTAGGATCCTGCCTATTCGCAGGTGGGATGATTGACAGGACCGGGGGGGAGGAGCAGAGCGATAAGGAAACACGAGGAGAGACAAACGAAACGTTTACCGAGAGAGTTTAAGGGAATTTTTGTATTTTATTTTACTTTTTCATATTAAATATTTATTTTTACTTAATGTGAGTGTGTGCCGAATTACGGGTCGGTACATTTGGTGCCGTGACCAGGATTATTACGAAGGAAAACAACAACGAAGTGCGCATATTTTTGCGATATTTAGGCATCCATATTTGTGACCTTCCACGGGAAAACGTACGTTAACGATATTTCGTTGAAACGGCAAAACGAACGGATAACGAACGGGTAGTGAACGATCTGTCATAACGTTTCAACGAACCAAAAAACGTTTTGACGAATTCAGCTAAAAATGTGGACGTTTAAAGTCGAGAATACGAACGGATAAATAAACGTTCAATCTGAAGCCGTTTGAACGATTTATGTTTATGAACGGTTTTAACGAATTAGTCTGAACGCCTGTTGCGCATATGATTGACGCAAGATATTATTGACTAATAGGAAATATTTTCAAACACGTAACATGTGTTGGCGCAAGTATGCATGTGTGTACATATAAATAGCTATACCTTCATTTGAATGTTTAACTAAATTTATTAGCTAAACTACCTAAATCACATTATTTTATACTTTATATACATATATACATTTGCATTTTGCATCAAAATTCGGGTTTATTCGTTAGAAAGCCTTCAGTTATTAGTACAAATTATCATCGTTATGTCAAATTAATCAATGCATCATCTGCAACTATACCCATCAAAATATTCAGCGCGTGTTTATTTGCAACAACGTTACAGATGTTGTAAATCTCTCCACGGACAAACTGTATGTATGGGTGGTTAAAGACATATAAACACATAATGCATGCATCCGTTTTATTAACACGGCTCTAAACCGAGAGTAAACGAAGATTGCAATAAATGGCCTGGCTTCGATAATAATATCATAGGCAATGTCATTGGTCACCGTCTCAGTTTGGTTGAGTTTCAGCTACTGGATACATATTTTATGTTAAGCTAAACACAAGAGATTTCCATTGTACACTATTGCTTATACTCTTTGACGCGCAAACGACTAAATTAATTAGCGCAAGGTCAAGTTGTTTACAGATGATAACCAGACATTAATTAATAACAGTTATACAGAATTATTCTGTCAGAATATCGCATACGCAAAGTTCGTTTGTATGCGAACCAGCGTAGTATATAACGTATGCTTGCATGCTGTCAAAACTTATTTGGTATAAATAGCCTACTACATTAAATATCCAAACCATTTATGCACGTGAGAATCCCCATTTAAATTTCAGCAATGCATTGCGCGGTAATAGAATATTTAAAATACAAGCTTGGATATTTACCTAGTGCACACAATATGTTCCGTGCGGCAATAGTCTCTAGCTGCGGTCAAGCTTGTCGCGGAATGTCGCCTATACACAGTACTGTCAGTAGCAACTAAGGGCATTATTATACCTTAAGAATATTATGATAATAATCTATTTTATCGACTGCATGCACCAGCCTGATAAAGTGGCCCAGTCATGACTTTCCTTATATCATAGCTAATGTTTCATTTAGTGTTCATACCTGGTAGGCTATTAGCCTTTACATATGCACGCGTTAAAACGCCTTGACTTCTCCATAGATGCTAATATCCAGCAAATATTTGGGACAGTCTTCGCGAAATTATTGGTAAAGATCTTTACCCGCGCGCTCACGGCTCACGCACGCATAAACAGTTGATAGGCGCCATTTCAAATTTGCTCATTTTGCCGCTCTAGCTGGCAGGCTTCAAGGTGCAATGACCATGCATAATTGCAATTTAATATCCGGAATGTAATTTCTCATCAACGGAGCCCAAATCAAAATTAGTGAAAATTTTCCTGTTGCCCAACAACTGATGTGTTGTCCAAGCAAGATAAATTCCAATGCTCCTTTTCTAATGAATTATATATAGCGAAATATATGTAGGAAAATATCTGAAAGGTCAAACTTAAATGTTTGTAAACGTTAGCTTGGCAACTTGCCCTTTGGGCTTGCGTCAGCCCAGTTGTGCGCAAGGAAGGACTGCACGCACTTTAAAACATAGCGCAAAACTCAACCTCACAAAACACGGAGTTTATTTTTGTAATAAACAATGTCACACAATGAACATGCATCATTGATATAGGTTCATTACTTTCATACAGTCTGTATCATTTATACGATTTGAGCCTTTTCCGCGTTCCACGTTTCCGATTCGAGGAGCAAGTCGAGAGAAATCAAATTACAACCAAAATATACATGGGGAGTGAATTGTGCTGAAATGTGCACATATCAATATATATGAAGTATTTTTTTGTAAATTAAGAGTCTAAATAAATATTTACAATGCATGAGTTATATTTATGCCATAAGTTATATTTATGCAATTGCCACCTTTCAACATGCCAGCAACGATGTCGATCGAGCCAGATGGCTTAGATCTCGTTGTAACCCTACGGAACGCGCGTTAGGTCACTGTATTTATGTCTTCAAATATTAGCTAGGGTATTTCAATTGTTGTATAATTTGTATTAAAAACAACGAATTTCAAGCTGAAATGTCCGTCCTAGGATGCGGTCCTTAATTTTGAATATATTTTAATCAGTAGCTGCTTCGTACGGAGGCCCAGCTAGATAAGTTTATCAGATGTAAATAAATTAGCTATATAATACACATGGTTTACAAGTACGATATTAATATGTAACACGCAAAATCCCTCAATTCATTTTAAAATCGGCATGGTGGAAAGTACGGAGTGCGGAGTACGGAGTCGGAGTACGGAGTCGGAGTACGGAGTCTGAATTAGACTCCGTACTTTCCACCGTGCCGGGGGGATCGGTGGAAAACACGGAGTCTGTGCTAAAAGTAATTGTAAACGCTTGACATTCGATTATAACTTGACTCCGTACTTTCCACCGTGCCAGGGAGATCGGTGGAAAACACGGAGTCTGTAATAAAAGTAATTGTAAACGCTTGACATTCGATTCTAACTTGACTCCGTATTTTCCACCGTGCCGGGGGGATCGGTGGAAAACACGGAGTCTGTGATAAAAGTAATTGTTGGGCTTTTAATATATAAATAATTTTAATTTAATTATATATGAAAATAATCATTCCGTTTATTCCGTTTATTAAAAGAGTAATTATCTCAATGTTTAAAATAGTGTAATAACTAATAATTAGATTCTAACTATAGAGTCAGAAAACGCAGTATTTCTGCTTAAAGTACTTGTAGGGCAAGCGCTGCTTTCTTTAAGGAAAAGTTTCTTTATTTTAGCATTATATTACCCTCAACTTTGAACATAACAAGAACTTTTTTTATGTACGAAAATGCCATTCGTTTTGATTGATGGAGTAATAATCTCAACTGCCAGTGGCGTAACCATAACGATAATTTGGGGAGGAGGGCATATTCATATCATTATTTGTGATACGCAGGATTAATTTCTTTTAAATTTCTATTCCGGCAATTGTTTTCACAGTCTGTTAACATGAATATATGAATATGCCCCCCCCCCCAATTATCAATGCTGGTTACGCCACTGAATATCAATCTTTAAAATAATGCAATAAATGACATAATTATAATTTAAATAAACAATTATAATTAAATTAACTTGTAGGTACACCACGTAAATATTAAATAGTGAAAAGCTTTCGGTCTGTTAACCCGGATCTTATCAGTGCAAAGGATGAAGGTCCGGGTTAACGGACCGAAAGCTTTGCAGTATTGAATACTTACGTGGTGTACCTAAAAGTTAATTTAATTATTAAAGTTGCCATGCAAACATTTAGGAAAGACAAACTATAAGTTCATTTCAATGAAGTGGTAGTGAATGGGAAGAAGGTGTGGCTTGATTTCTTGTGGAATGACGCAAATTCCTCTTACAAATCTAGCCTCCTTTCTCAGAACACATCCTCTAAAGCAATGAAAGTAAACGTTTGAAAGTTTATGGCATACTCTCCCTTGGGACATCCATTCTCTGGCCATCTTTGACACAATCACCAAATCATTCGGAGCTTCAGGTACAACACCATTGCGTTTTAGTGGGTTCCCGCATCCAAAGCAAACAGACGTTTGACTTGGACAAAACTGCAGAAGATAAAGCATGAATTGCCCAGGATTTGGTGTTGGGAAGCCTGGTGTGCAAGGTAGTAACTGAGGAACCCAAGATGATGTGTGTGGTCCATCAGGGAATTGCGGCGCTGGCGGGATATAACTCACAGATGGTTGTTGGCTCTCAAGTCGAGATATTTGCGTCGCAGGGTGAGGTATTATTGATGGAGCATGTAAGGATAAGGGAACAAAAGGTTGTGGTGCCAAAGTGGAATCATCGGGGGTATGGCGATCAGTCTCATTCCTCTTGTCACTGACCCGAGGTATAACTCTCGAAACTTCTTTGCTCGCTTTGTTTCTACCAACCCTTCTTGGCGCTTTCTCACCCTTTCTCCCTCGACCTTTTGGCATTCCAAAAGTTATAGCTTTGGAGAAATTAACTCCACCAGCATTGCGCTTGGTGCACGAAAGCCACTTAATGAAGTCCGCGATCTTCTTTTGCTTTATGCTGGCGGAAACAGTGTGCGCGCAAACGGACGAGGAAGAAAAGCCGGGACAATCGCATTCCACCTTTCCATTTGGAAACAGATTCACGACGTGAGGCTTCCGTGGATTAGTTGCAGATTCCACAACCATCGTATCACTTCCATGCGATAAAACTGCTCCCTCTTTCTCGATTAAAGCAAGAGCTTTCTGAACAATGCTTGAGAGAATTTCATGTGGAATCCAATCTATCCTTTTTTCCAGGAACATTTGCAATATGGCGTTGTCGGAACCTCGGACAACTTCGGTGATGCTGACTATACTGGAAGACGCTTCCTCCAAAGGAACCGTGTGGAGTTTCTGCAAAGCATTTTTCTTTTGCTCTTCTCTCATGGATTCCCATTCTTGGCTTGATACTTCGAGATGTTTAAATTTCTCTCTAAGTTTGTACTCTCCACGGCCAAGAACAGCTAACTCAACCTCTTGTTTCTGTTGATTGACAAGTTTCGACAAACAAACAGAGAAGGTGAATTCGTCGATTTTCTTTGCGCTTTTGCACTCGGATTTCACAAATTCTTGGATCGACCGATTCGTTTGTTCTGATCGGTTTGTTGTGAAACGATCAGGAGGACAACCTAGACCAGCTCTTTGGCGTACTATACTGATAACGGAATTGATGAATTCATCACGTTTTCTGGAGACAAACCAGTCATAAAAGACTTGGCCTTTAGTATGAAGGGAAGACCATCTCTCCTTTAGATTAACCAGCATTGTATCGAACGCTTCCGCACTCTTGGCATCCGTTAATCCACTTTCTACAATATCGCTATGCCTCCTGCCAAATATATCGGTGATGATTTCAACTTTACTTTGTTTTGGGATTTGCAATTCTTGCAGCTTCCTTTCGACATTTTTCTGCAAATGTAATTCGCAAAGCAAGTTAATTGATCGATCAAAGTTGTTTCGAAACCCTGAGATGAGGGCCTGTTCATCATCCGTGCCGAATGCCAATAGGTCCCGTAAACCTGGTTCCAGTGTTTTCAGTGTTGCACTGAAGCTTGAATACGTTTCTTCTGTTTTCTTATTGTGAAGTAAAACTGGGCCGATTAAAGATGGGTGCTTTCCGTCGCGTCTGTTTTCGAGCAGCAGATGTTGATAAGTTATTGGCGTGACATTGTAATGTCCAATATCAAAGGTTGGATCCACGGTAAATGGACGAAATTCTACGGGATTGCAGCAGAACCGCTTTAGGTCATTTAATTGCCTGTCCGACGTCATAACACAAAGCGGCTCAGGTGCGACTCTTACATCTCTTATAAAGGCTGTACTTCTATTTGACGCTTGCTTTTTGCTTTCTCCGAGTAGGCGAAACCAAGGATCATCGTCGTTGGCGTCTTCTGATAGTGTTTTCCTTTGCCGTTTACTTTTCTTTTTATTTCTTGAAAAATCCTTAACCTGTACGTAAAATTACATATTAAATTCTTCTTTAACGCGCAATATGGAAATTTTGTATTTATGAGTTACCTGTTGTCTATCTCGAGGCACCATTCCTATACCAGAACAACTGGAAATTCCTCCAAAATCCTCTGCTACGGTCTTGTGCACGACCTCACGTGGATTCATTTCACCCTTTTTTCTTTCAGAAGGGCTTTCGTACTCTCCCATGTTCGGACGTATGGACCACGTGACTCTGATTTGGCGTTTTTATGTTGTCGTTGAAGAATTGGATGTTCCTTTCCCCCTTTGAACGAGTATTGGACCAGACAATATCTGTGGATTTCACCTTCAGGCCCTGCGACGTGATAACATGCATACAGTATATTTAATCAAATTGTTTTCTCAGTATTTGCGCCCATACACATCTCTTGCGTGATCGTGGTATTATGCACTAACTTCTATATACTAAACGTCCAACTATTGGAAGAAGATTAAATATGTTTGTACTTACAAATTATCGTATCGATTCGTTTTCTGAAGTCGTCTTTCATACCATCTTTTAAACAATAATATTCCCTTTTGAGATGAACTTCTTCATCTGACCTAGCACATTGAATCCATTCATCGCCATCTCTTTGAAACCCAAATTTGTCGTTACTGTTGTTTTGCCAACTTCCTGCATCGTCACACTTGATATCACTATTTGACTTCAAGGCTTCAAGGTCTACAATGAAGGAGACGTGGTGCTCAACGCACATTGGTTGATGGCTACACACTATTGCAGAAGAGACAGAGCTGTTAGGCTTTCCAATATTGTAGAGCAAGTGCATCTCATCATGAGGAGAAAGAACTTTCTTGTTTCTAGAGAACACAGGAAGAAGAAGATTTCCTTTGTAATAGTCGATGCTGTCGGATGTATCTGCATCGCTACTTTCATCGGTGCTATCCACTCTCGTTCTTCTTCTAAAACAAAGCATCATTTTAAATAAATTAAGAAAAAGTGCACTTTATAACATTCGTCCTGCGGCATACATCTCATAATGTTAATTCTCAAGTTAAAATCTAATTTACCTTAAGACATTCTCGAAAATTGAATCTGTAGACTCATTGCTGCTGTTAAAATCCATTTCACTATATGTTAGCGCTGCATCTTCGTCTCTACTTTTTAAGCCCCCGACATCAATCAGTTTGGATTCAGCCATTGAGGTTTTCCTTTTACAGTTAGAATACAGTTAGTTACAGTTTTCCAGCCTCATTATTAACTACAATTTTGACAACGTCACATGCGAGATGAACTTTCAAAATTGCTTCTAGCGTATAAAATAGAAATGCAAACTTGGTTCATGGTATTTTTTTCAACGTTCAATTCAAGCAATAAATTAATAAGCTCAAACTGTGCATGTGTTACCGAGGAAAGTTCGGAAGCTTTTCCAAGAAATTATAGAAAGCCATCCAAGAGAGAGTAATAAATTTGATATATACCTGACATCTTCAGAAGGACTCGACGGATTTGTCAAATCTATCACTTGTCTAGCGCTTCTAAATCAGGAAATTTAATAATAATTTTAATTTAATTTTACGTCTAGAGGAGAAACACTCAGGATATAGACAATAAGTCTTAGTCTTAGATACGCACTTCTATTATTCAGTACCTGAATAACATTGGAGATTCTGATTTATCACTTAGACCTGTAACTTCCTTCTCATTACGTTGCTCAGTACTCTTGCTATTAATAACAAAAAAATCAAAACAGTCGAATTAATATAGAATGCTTCGAAGTTAAAGGGACTACACATATTCCAATAAAGAGCTAACCAACATGAAAAAAATGTTTAAATGAACATGCATGCAAATCTTAGCACCTTGTGTTCTCGTCTGTGTTTCTGTTACTGATTGTTTGGTCTTGGTCATTAATCTGTTGAACAGCACTGAATTGCTGTTTCACATGCTCCGCCGATGGTCTTTGAGAAGGATCAAAGCTGGTAGAAGCTTCAAATACTTTTTGAATAAGTAGCCATTTTGTACTTCGCATTTCTCTGTACTTGGGAGATCCTGTAGGATGTTTTTTCTTTATTAACAATTCCTGCAGTTGGTCGATGAAGCTTGTGCCATGATTAATATCCAACTGGTACGGATACTTCAAATCAGGATTCGCTATGCAGAACAAAATCATGCCAAATGCCCACATATCGATTTGCTTCAGGTCTTTGAATGAAGCAGACTGCAATCTTGAAGCCTTAACTAAAATCTCCGGCGCCATGAACAAAGGAGTCCCTCTAAAGGTTTTAATGCAATAGCGAAATAAGTAAAATACACCTTTACTCATTGCTTTACTGTTGTTTCGGCGAAACATTATTTTTGTACGGTTACGCATAGTGGAGAGAGTAAACGATGACGTCACGTATAATCATGTATGAGACTTATTTCAAGTCGTTGCGGCTCATGCTCAACTCTATATTACTATATTAATAGAGCCTTAAATGGGTGCTATTTGGGTTATTTTTATGGTTAGTGAAATATTTACCAATTCTTTTAGCGTTTTCTGAGATTTTACGCGAGAACTGAACATGTCCAAATGAGTATTTGAATTGAATATACACGATTTTCTTTACACAGCATTTACCGCTGTTTTTTTCTCTTTATTATTTATATACTTAAACCATATGGGAATGGTCTATCCGAGTCAGACAAAGAATAATACACAACATGAAAACTTACCTGTCTACGCGCCTTGTTGTTGAATTAATGATCGCAGTTTGTATTTGGCTAGATTTGCTTTCGCCAAAGTCAGCAAGTTTACAAATTATAGGAGATTTTTCAAAAATCACGCATCGCTGCTCATCTTCATTAATGTGGCAGTAGTGACTGTTGCAAACCAAGATGTTCTTCGGTTTCAAATCTCTATGGGCCGTATCTCTCTCGTGCAAGTATGAAAGTCCATTAGCGATATCGCTACAAATCTTACCATGAAGTTTATCATCAAAATTTTCGAAGCCATCAATACGGTCCATGTGATTTAAGAAGTCACCCAAGTTGCTAATAACTTTTGAGTCTCCAAACGGGGAGAAATCAAAATACACGTACTCTAACAGCATGGCACATGGTGAATGGCAAAATCCTTTGAAACCAACAATATTTTCATGACGAAAGGAGTGTATGAGTTTCGCCTCCTTTAAAAACACATCTTCGTCTCTCTTGACTCACCGGCATTCTTTTCACGACGACCGTTTCTTTCCTGTAATGGGCTTTGTAAACAAAACCAAAACCACCTTGTCCGATAAATTCCATGCTTCTAAGTTCTTTATAATCAAAAGTCGGTAGATTGCAATTAAGCTTGCGCGGTAAAACGCGTATTGATGGCAGTTTAAAGGCCATTGCTAGAGGTCACTAACAACACGAGGTACCTAACAGTTAGCTTGAGTGAAATTCAAAACCAATGTTTTGATTAATGAGCTACTTAAATGCCAAATTCTAAACGGACATCGCACATTAACTTGCGAGAGTAACACTTTCACTAAAGTTGCCCAGATGTTTCCTGTAACTTATATTATTTAATCGACTTTCATTTATATGAATGTCAAGCGTTTACAATTACTTTTATCACAGACTCCGTGTTTTCCACCGATCCCCCCGGCACGGTGGAAAATACGGAGTCAAGTTAGAATCGAATGTCAAGCGTTTACAATTACTTTTATCACAGACTCCGTGTTTTCCACCGATCCCCCCGGCACGGTGGAAAATACGGAGTCAAGTTAGAATCGAATGTCAAGCGTTTACAATTACTTTTAGCACAGACTCCGTGTTTTCCACCGATCCCCCCGGCACGGTGGAAAGTACGGAGTCTAATTCAGACTCCGTACTCCGACTCCGTACTCCGACTCCGTACTCCGACTCCGTACTCCGCACTCCGTACTCCGACTCCGTACTCCGCACTCCGCACTTTCCACCATGCCTTTAAAATCTGGTTTTGTCTGTTTACATACATTTAGAGACTTCCGACAATTATGCAACTTAATTAGCACCTTGCCAGGGCATATTTATATGGCTCGTAATGCTAATATATGGCTTGAGAGGTTGTTTGTGCGCGCAGTGAAATTTGGCTTATGGAAGCTACAGAAGTATAGTAAAGCACAAATTCTAACCATTTAGTGCATTACCGAAATTCAAAAAACGATAAATTTTTGAAAGAAAGCTTACGACGTAAAATTTGACGCTAATGAAATAATTGCATGCACTGAATGTTAATAGCCTTCATGTCTGCATGACGCTAAGCATCAACCATAACATGAAGCGCGCAAAATAGCATTCGATTAGGCTAAAACGATATAACCTCACTATTTCCTTTACAAGCCTTCTACTAAGGAACTGAATACGTTTCTGGGAGTATTTCTGTGTAGCACATTCTGCGCTTCTTCTACAAAGTTGTAACATTGCAAATGTTTAATCTAATATGTTGAACCAAATCCAATGCGATTGAACGAAATTACGGCAATCGTTTCAACGAACGGTAAATCAAACGGTTGAACGCTTTTGGACCAATTTTCAAACGATTTTTCCCAAGCGTTCGAACGGGCATTTTCGAACGATGAACGATCTCGAAAATCGTTTCAACGAACGCTTCAAGCGTTTAAACGGCAAACGAACGGATAACGAACGATATTTTCGAACGAACGAAATAGCGTTAACGTATGTTTTCCTGTGGAAGGTCACATTTGTTTATTGTATTATCACGAATTCAGCGATGCTATTGTGAGTAACTATAACGGACATGATGGGAGACGAAAGCAACGAACAAGTCGAGGGTTTAGGAGACACCGAGCGTACGGAAACTTTGATACAAAAGGAAATTTCGAAGCTAAAATACTATTTGGAAGGGACAGACGAATTGATTCGAACGAATGACGTCGAGGAAATAAAAACAACGGTAAAACAAACATCTAAGATTACGAGCAAGCTTTCGGAGCTTATTTCACAGCTAGAAGAATTCAAGATCGACAGTGGTATTTCACCTAGAACTGTTCGTCAGTGGAAAAAGGATATAAAAGCGGATTATGCAGAATTATTGCTGGACAAGCAGAAACTTTCTGACTTTTTAGAGTCAAGAGAGCGACACATCCAAGAAGAATCTGAACGGCGAAAGTGGGAAGCTAGACAACAACTAGAGGAGGCAGCAGTCACAGAGAGACAAGAACGTGAACGGAGATTATGGGGAAAAAAACTGCAAGCT